AAAGCTAGGAAGAGGAAATTGAACTTTATTTAGTAAAGAACATTCATCTCTCTCCTGAGATCCCACTGGCAAACCTCAATTGACAGCACCATTTAGGTGGCTCTTATGTGATTCTTTTCATTGGTGATATCACCAGTCACAGAGGGGCATCAATACAATCACCTAAAAGGCATTCCCCAACCCAGGGTGCCACCCTGTCTTGGGAAGCCGTGCTATACATTGGGAACACAAACACAAAATTACAAGTAGTCCCCTTGAAGAATTATACAAACTGATGCAGAGTAAAGTAAGCAGAACCAGAAAAACAACATAAACAATGTCAACAGAAATAACTACTGCTACAAGAACAACAACCTGTATTACTGTGTAATTATAATGATCTAGTTTGGCTGCAGAGAAAAGTTGATACCAAAAAAAGTTCTTCCCTCTGCTTCTTTGCAGAGGCGTAAAATAATGAGTATGGAATATTATATTCCAGACATGGGTTGATATATTGGTGGGCTTTGCTGACCAGCTCAGCTTGTTTTTCCTCTTTCTTTATTACAAACAATGGTTCAATGGGTAGAAGAGAAAGAGGGATATATTTGGAAATGAAGGTGATATAAAAATAAAATATTTTAAATTAAAAATAAGATTAAGAAAAAAAAGGGTCTCTGCCTTCAAGGAGCTTACACTTAAAAAAAATCTTATGTCAAAGTCTGTTAAAAAAGAATAATCTAACAGAAAAGCATTCTGTAAATAGTAGGAACAGAAATTCAATTCAGTGAATATTTACTGCTATATTTGGAAAAAGCAAAGTAGAAAGAAAAGAGTTATTTGCTGATCAGCCCAGAATCAGGAAAAGTAAGTGCCCCTGCTTCAGCTGGGGTACAGGGATGAGGCACCAGGGAGTCAAGGAGACAGTGAGTGTGACCCAAAGGCAACTCTGAAACTTGAGAGTCCCTTTACTGCATGACCTAATTAAGCACCGTGTCTAATGTACCCATGACATCAATTAACATCAAGCATACATATTTGAGGGCAAGATTTGGCCTTTGGACAAGAGAACCTTCTAAGTCCTAATCAACCCAACAGAGGATGGAAGAGACAACAGTGGGATCCACAAGGGCAGAGAGGCATCATGAGGCAGGGCAAACTATCCATCTGGAATGTTTTCTCCCACCTCCTCCTTCATAATCTTTATTTCTTTTTAAGCCAAAAAAATAAACTTGTACATGGTACATTTGGTTCTGCAACACCAACATCCAAAGAATTAATCTTTGAGGGGCTATTATAATTTGGTTTAATAAATGACTAGTTGAAAACCTCAGGGCACCCACAGATTCCCAGATCCCTGGAGATCTCAAAAAGGGGAATGACATAGCTGAGAGAGCTATGTGTTAGGGTGCCCCCTTTTGTGAGGCTCAGACATACATGCCGTGCTTATGCCCTCTACTAAATCGTATTCTAATACCGAAGTAAGGTGTTGTGTGGAGGGGACTCATAGCTCTCCAAGGGTACCACAGAAGAATTGGAGTTATGGTACATCTTAAGTTTCAAGAATGGGTTGTTGGGGCAGCGAGGTGGCACAGTGGATAGAGCAATGGCTGGCCATGGAATCAAGAAGAGCTGAGTTCAAATCTGGCCTGAGACACCTACTACCTGTGTCACTCTGGGCAAGTCACTCAACCCTGTTTGCCTCAGTTTCCTCATCTGTAAAAATGAGCTGGAGAAAGAAATGACAAAGCACTCCTGTATCTTTGCCAAGAAAACACCAAAAGGAAAAAAAAAAAAGAAAAAACCCAAATGGGGTCACGGAGAGTCTGAAATGGCTCAACAACAACATGGGTCTGTTGACTGGCTTATAGGTCTTTTGTCTGAAGACCAGCCTATGTGACCAGAAAGGCCAGATAAATTTGGGGTGCTCTGGCAACCAAAAACTGTCTCCCAAAGCTTTGGAAGTCTACATCAGTGGGAGGACTAATCATATGGAACAGCCATACTTATGAAATCACAAGCCCTTAAGGTATTTAACTATGCATATATACATGCTTCTTGAATATATATAGGGCGTCCTAAAAGTATCTGAACTAAGACTTTTGGGATACCTCGTACTACATACGTTCATTAACTTGGTGGGGGAGAGGGGGAGGAGGAGATAAGAGGGTTTGTATCTGAAGAGCAGAGGTTAGGACTGCTGGCCACAGCACTCCCAGCTAGTGCTAAATCAGATTAAATGGAACTGGGAAGTATTTAACAAAATAAATAAAAATACAATAGAACATAGATAATGCTAATGTATAGTTTCCTAAGTCACTAGGTGGCCTGCCAGAATCCTTAAAAAAGGTTTTAGTGGTCCCCATTTCTATCTGAGTTTGGCACCAATAGAACTCCCAGGGAGGAAATAACAGCTCAGCAACTTTCTAGTACAGGCATACCTTGTTTTATTGTTCTTCACAGATACTGCATTCTTTTACAAAACGAAAGTTTGTGGCAACTCTGCGTCAAGCAAATCTATGAGTGCCCTTTTTACAACGGCATATGCTCACATCATGTCTCTGTGGTAGCTTTGCTAATTCTCACAATGTTTCATACTTTTTCATTATTATTATATCTGTTCCGGCGATCTGTGATCTTTGATGTTACTATAGTCATTGTTTTGGGGTGCCATGAACCACACCCATAGAAAACTGTGAACTTAATCCATACATGTGTGTTCTGACTGCTACAGACTTGCAGTTCCACCTCTCTTCCTCTCCTCATGCCTCCCTCTTCCCTGAGACACAATATTGAAATTAGGCTAATTAATAACCTGGCAATGGACTCTAAGTGTTCAAGTGAAAGGAAGAGTCAGTGTGGCAAACTTCATTGTGGTCTAATTTTAAGAAATTGCCAGTCACTCACTCCTGCCTTCAGCAGCCAGCACCCTGATCAATCAATCAGCAGCCATCCACATAGAGGCAAGACCCTACACCAGCAAAGACTACAACTTGCTGAAGGCTCAGATGATGGTTAGCATTTTTTGTAACACTAAACTATTTTTACTTAAGGTATGTACAATGTTCTCTTAAACATAATACTATTGCACACTTAATAGACTACAGAAGAGTACATAACATATAGACTGGGAAACCAAAAATTTCACATAACTCGCTTTATCGAGATATTTGCTTTCTCATGATATTTGAGTGGTCTGGAACTGAACCCACAATGCCTCTGATGTAAGCCTGTTATCAGAGAGATACCGGGGTTAAGTGAGACTTTAAGAGCCAGGGTTCTTCCACTTCTGGGTATCATAGTCAGTATCAGTCAGCCAATAAACATACTGTAAGTGTCTATTACATGCCAGGCCCTTGCAGTGCTAAGTACCGGAGAAACAAAGAAATGTATGAAAAAAAAAAAGATACTCCCTGTTTAGAGGAGTTAACAATTTAATGGGAGAGACAGCATGCAAGTAACTATTTACAGACAAGCTGTATATAGGATAGGGGTGCAACATGAACACTAGGGCTAGGCCAGCTCTCTAGTAATTAGCATAAAGCCTCTCATTAGTTTAAGGTCGGAGAAGGGAGAAGTTTAGAGTATCAGACTCTGAGGCATAAGGTCAATTCATCCAATCAGTCTATCCTTGAGTAGAAATCCCATCTAGGTGTCTCTAAATGGTGGTCCAACCTCCACGTAAAAGGCTTAGGTGATAGGATGCTCCCTCCCCTCCTGAGGAGGTAGGTAAAAGCTACTGAGAAACGTTAAGCAGACAAAACTGGTCCTTAACACCAGGCTTCCTCAGTGACTTCCATATCTGCTACTTTTTGTCTAAGTGGTCTTGGACAAGTCATATTATTTTCTCTAAGTTAAATTTCCCCACCTATAAAATGAAGGGCTTGAAATACATATTTAGCCAGCTCCTTATCTTTAGTTTCCCCACTGCCTTGGGGCCTAGGGATAAGGAATGGGGAGAGGATGGGGGACGAAGAGTGGTTTGGGGAAGGTAGAAGGAAGGGCTAGGGCCTGGAAGGGAAAGGGTGGGGAAGAAATCAGGGCAAGAGGGAAGGACACTCAGGATGGGTCCCAATACACGCCCCTGGACTCTGCTCCTCCTTCCACCCTTCTAAGTGAGGGCTGGGGCTGAGGGAAGGAGGGAGGAAGGGTGTTCCCTGAAGACAGAGAGCCCTGGAGTCAGCACCCAATCACCCTACCTCACCTCCCTGACTCACCTTCAGGTCCTTATCCTGCAAGTACATGCACAACTGTGTGGAATAGGTAGGTAGATCCATCCCAGGTAGACATTCCATCCTCCCTACCCACCCCCAATTCCCACCAAGTATCAGTAATGAAACAGTCTCTTTTAAAGTTTGAACTTTAACTTCCATAGTGGAAGGCCTTCCCCATGCTCCTGGATTGAATCATGTTCACTGTTCTAAAAGATTTCCCTTTTCCTCAGATACACTTTCCCAATTAGCAATTAAATCAATAGCAAAGTAAACCCTGAAGGGTCAGATTTAGGTTCTAGTATTAGCTCAGCCAAATCACTTAACTTTGTAAGGCCCCATTCCCAACCTCAATAAACTCCATCAGTTCCTTGTAGTCTCTCCAGGATCAAACACAAAATACCTGGTTTGGTATTCAAAGACCTTCATAACCTCTTACCTTTCTATGTAAGACCCCCTACTTGATCTTTGATCCAGTGAGCCTGGCCTCCTGGCTGTTCTAAGAACAAGACACTCACTCCATCTCTGGAGCCTTAGGCATTTTCTCTGACTGTTCCTGGAATACTCTCCCTCATTTCTGTCTACAGTCTTCCCTGGTTTCCTTTAAGTGCCAACTAAAATTCTATCTTTTATAGGAAGCCTTTCCCAACCCCTCTGAACTCTAGTGTATTTCTTCTTTAAATGTTTATTTATCCTGTACATAACTTGTGTGTACATAATTGTTTGCTTTTTGTTTCCCCCATTAGATCATGAGTTTGAAGGCAGGCAATGTCTTTTGCCTCTTTTTGCCAGCACTTAGCCAAGTGCCTGGCACATAATAGGTGCTTAATAAATGTTTATTGATCAACTGACTGACCCCAGGAAAGTCACTTAAAGGCTCCAAAAATTTTGATGGTCTTGGAAGAGACCTAGGGTCAAATGAGTCCCACAATAGCAAAACTGTGGAATTGACTTCAGGAACTCCTATTGAGATGTCAGGCTGTGTTTTGGAGGATACATCATGCAGGAGAGAAGTATGGCCTTGGAGAAGCTGAGGCCCCAAGGAAATGTGCCTCCTAGCAGCTTCCTGTTGGCTAAAAAAGTCTACAGTGTTTGAGATTAAAATGCAATCCTCCTCTCTAGTTCACAAATTCACAAGAACCACCAATTTGATTATCATCCCTGGTGTTCTCAGGCTGAAAAGCTTCAAAGATACCGGCAGTGTTAGATCTTTGGCCTGTGTTTGGTACCGTGAGGATTTGGGAGTCTCTCATCTACACAATTTTGGGGAAAAGGCACTGTGGTAACACATCTGAAAAAGGTACACTCACTCACCAGGTAAGTTCTCAAAGCTGACTTGCTACCTTTAGCTTTAGCCTAGGTGAAATGGCATCTTTACGAAACTCCCCTATGGAAGGAACAGTGGGATTTGTATATTCTCACCTAGGAAACAGGTCACATTAAACATCAGAGACTGTCACGAAAGCATTCAGATTTGTATACTGGGCTAAAATTTGAACGTTCTCAACAATTCTATCATAGAAACCTGTCCACGGACTAACATTATGTGTTTTGACTGTCCTCAATTTCCACTCTCCCCATCCATCTCCGCTGATCAAGATGTTATCCATTACAAGCAGGAAAATAGCAGTGCTTATGATGTTGCCAAAAAATAATTGAGCACTCCATGAAAACATGGTCTCTAACGTAACAAATAAAAAAAAAAAATCACAAGGTCAAGTTGTTTCTGCAGAAGATCATGTTCCATGTTACTTGCGGACAAAAGCTCACAAGTTTCTTTATATGCTTTGTGGAGTGTGGGCATAATGAAAGCTTGGATTGGCAAAATAAGGAAAGGTTCCGGTTCTGCTGAATCACTGGAAATGTCACATGGAAAGCTGACCTGCCAGTGAGGCTGGCTTATAGATTTCAGATAGAAGTAGTTGATTCACTGGAAGAGATCTGGAATGTTGGGACAAGACCTAAAAAAAGAGAAAAGTTATTGGTTACAGGCTGATGTAAGTAAATCTTGAAAAGAAAAAAAGATTTATTCCTATCCAGATAAACCTTCATTCATCTCAGAATCTGAACTGTGAAAACAAAGCCTATTTATCTTCCACATGGCAATCATCAAAAGGAAAAATCAGAGGCAGCCAATAGAAAGCAGAGTAGAGACTTGATAAGGGTCAATAACCACCCTCAGGGCAATGGAAGAGTCTCATACTGAGACTAAGCTGTCTCCATCCATCACTTGTCCAAAACCTTAGGCCATTTCCTTCTCAAGCCAATGGTGGTTACTCACAGCAGAGGAAGTTGGCCAACTTCCTATAGGAAAAAACAGTCCTGTCTAAAAGGAAAAAAAAGAACATACTAAGTAGCACTTGAGAATTGGACCCATTCCAAAGCACCATCCGATCACCAAGGATCTGATCTGCTGCTTCCCAAGTCATGAGATAGGTCTACCTGGTGAATGATTCCTGTTTAACACCTGAACAGCATATCGCTATAGAAACTCTCATCTCAAATACTGACAGACTAGCTGTGTAAGCGAGTAAGTAAACTAGAAAGTAATGCTTCCCTTATCAGTTAAATGACTTACTTCACAGGTCTGTTCTAAGACCCTACTCCAGGCTCTTTGGGTTCTAAGCTTTTCTCTTGTCTCCTCACCTGTACATGAACCGAACTTTTTTTTTTTTTAAACAGAAGACAGGAATATTTCTGAAGTTAGAATTCTTTTTGGCAGACTAATAACATTGTAACCATCCTCACACAAGGAGCAAAACTAACCTTGCCCCTTGCTTTGACAGGACAAAAAAGAATGAGTCATTTCAGAGCAATCATTTCAAATGAGAAACAGACCAGTCCATGAAGTGTTTTCTTATAAAACACCCTGTTCTGATAGTGAGACCTTCTGGGGAGGTTTGAGACGTTCTCTTCTGGGAGATCATTCTAAGATTTTAAATATTCAAACTGGCTATTAGCCCAGGGATCAATGTAAAGCTCATCTAAACAGTCTTACATAAATGAAACATGAATCAGCACCACCACATGATTGGTTTTGCTTCAAAGTAACAAGGAATAAAATGTAAGCATCTCGATTTTCTCTCCCAGAGGGCAATCAATTATCTCTGAGCCCCGTTATGTCCAATAATAAAAAGCTCACATTTTAGTAGTTCATCTACAACAGCCTAATGTGACATTGATTGAAATGTGTTGTCATGCAAGGAAAGGATCACCTTAACTTTTGAGCAAGTGGGTGTTTTGAACAGAAGATAAAGGTGGTATAAAGAACAGCTATAAGCAATGCATGTTCCAACCACTCATTGCTTTAACCTGATAATGTCCGGTAGTAGGAGGTATGGATCAATTCAAATGAGCAAATAAGCAAAGTTAAGTAAGTTGCTCTCAAAAATACTATGTTCCAATACAGGAACAGAGAGGTATATAGTTTAATTTTATGGAAGTGCTAAGAGGTAGGCACTGTTTAATTAGGGAGTCATGTTTATGGATCTTCTGGAGAATTAGGTATTTTCCCTGGCACCAGGTCAGTGGCATTTCAAGAAAACAAAGTCAGTCCATTGTCGCTAGGAATAAATACACTAGATAGACGCCATAGAACTTGATGGTTCACCGTCTAGGAAGCTCACAATATGAATGAGAAACAACCAGCACACATTCAGGGCCCTAAGAAACTACTCTAAGACTCTGTTGAGTCATCCCTATCCACATTCTTTCTCCTCAATTGTCTTTGGGGCATTTCCAGCACATAGCCTAAGTTGTAATTAGGCACAGCTCTTGTAAGCCAGTAAGATGTTCAGATGAATAGCATCTCTTTCCCAAAACTGTCATGTTCAAAAGCAAGGATTTTACATAAGGAAAAACTATCAAACCGATCTCTCCCACCAACAAAATGTCCACTTTTCTTCAGAATGGTTGCTTCAGCAAATCAACTGTCATCTACATTAGAGACCAACCAGATAAATCAGCCTACAAACATTCAGTGGCCCAGACGTAATCATTGCCAAGGCACAAAATATTAGACTAACAAAGTAGAAGCTAGCTTTAAGAGATACTCACAAAAAGGCTTGGGAAAAACTGTGAATTAAGGACTTAAGAACCTGGAGGGGGGGGGAGAATGTTGATGGATCAATGGTTTTATCCAATGTAGAAAAGCCTACACTCCCTGTTTCCTTTCAAAAACAAAGCCACACTAGTCAAACTATAAACATATCATTTCCTGGAAGATATGCCAGGGTACTTAAAACCTGAAATCAAATATTGGCAGTATGTGTCCAAGATCTCTGCAAACACTCTTCCTTGCCAGCCTTTGCTTTCTCCTAAAGAAAACTACACAAAAGGATCCCCGTTCACTAGTCTGCAGAGGCAGCAGAGATGATTAAGATAATTCAAATATGATAGTTAAATTTTTACTGGAGATACATAATTAAAGTTATCTGAAAACATTAGTATCTCCTATTAGGCTGCTTGCATTATGCTAAAGTCACATCCCTGCCAAGGAAAGTCTATGGTCCTTGTCCCTGAGGACACTCCTGACAATGAGAGGACTTCCAAAAGATTGCCTTGATGAAAAACATGGATTCTCTTGACATCTTTTTTGCCCACCATGTTTACTAGACTCACAATATAGTATATTCAAACTGCCGTAATTCCTTCAGTGGTGAATTAAAAAAAAAACACTTTCATTCAGCCAAACATCCACTGCTTTGCTTCTATTGAGAATACTTTTATTATTATAGTTATCATATACAACAGAATTATATTGGGAACATTTACAAATAGGTGGTTATTTAAAACCTCTGTCACCTGCACACACTGAACCCTCACTCATTTTTGCAGGAGCAAGTCACCAGGAGATGTTACAATTATTGCCTTGTGAACAAACAGAGCTTTGATTACATAACTTCAGTTTCAAGAACTGAAAATTGGAATCTCCTCTCCAAAAGTCCAAACATTTTAAATACCCTGTATAGCATATGTACTTGTGCTTAAACCTAAAAGACGTGTTTAGCTCACCCCATTCCCTTTTAAAAGTTACCAAAATTAAATTTGAACCCCATTAAAAAAATTAAGTTCACCAGTATTTACACAACCCATTAAATTACACATAAATAAATATGTACATTCAACACACTCTTTTCTCTTAATACACAGAGCACCTCCCTGGTAGTAATTTTTTTTTTGGCCTATTAAGGTCAAAAAAAAAAAAGAAAAGAAAAGAAAGAAAAAAAAGCTAATAAAATGTTATGTGCCTAGTATTTTCAAGTTTTTTGTTTTTTTTTTTTTTTTTTAAACAGACCCGATATAAATATGCAGATAAAGCTGATACACCTTGAGAGAAAAATGTTTTTCAAGACATTTCGGTTTTTAGCACTAATTTAAAATTCTTTATAACACAAAAAACACCTACAACAGACTTTGACTAAAGTTTTATAAAACCTGAATTATCTCCTTTGGAAGTGTGTCAAATGTCATCCAGTAATAAGGTCAAATAGATTTTTTTTTCCTTCATAGGGTAAAAGACTTGTGTGATCTAGGAAGCTAGATAACCTTTTACATAAACATTGAATGAAGATAGATCTAAACACTATAGTCTAATACTGCAAAATGGTTACTGTTGGCATGGAAAAATCCATGAAAATTTGACTTAAAAAGGAATAATTCTTAATTAATAGCATCCAAAATACTTTCTCTATACCCTTGGCTATTAGCACTGGGAATTTTAGAGGTTCAAAAACATTTTTAGCACCACTTTTAGAGCAAGGGGAAGGGGGAAAAGGGATAAAAGGTTTAAGGAGCAAGTACCCAACAAGTACCCAAGTTTGTAGTCTTCTGATAACTTGTCCACAAAGTTTGGAGATATTGCAGCTTTAGAAACACAAGACTCCAGAATGGGAGGGTGTGTAAATCATGAAGATCCTGAATAAGATGATGTTTAATAAAGTAACACATTTTTCTACATTGTCCCCTAGGCAAGAAGACAATCCATCCCATAGTCTGTATTATGGAAAATTGTTTCGGTCCTTTTGAACTTTTCCCCAGACTGCACTTTTCCCCCTCCCCCCACCCTTTCTATTTCCGGTGCTTATCCATTTTCTCAATAGTTTTGTTGGACTCGGCGGGACTTTGGTCGCCAGTGTTCATGTAGGTTTTGTCTGCTATTTTTAATGCCTCATTTAGGTAGTTCTGGACAGATGTCATGGCTGCACATATGGCTGCACTCCCAAAGCCATGAGTTATTAGACTGAAATGAGTCAGGCAACCTTGAATGGCAGGATCCAGAACTGGGCTGGGTCTAGCATTTCCAAGAGGAGTCCGGTCCTGAGTGAGAAGATCTGTGAATTCCTTACAGATTTGTCTAAGAGACAGATAAGAGAACAGAAAACTCCATGAATAGGCAGTTTCAAGGGACAACAGAAGATAAACACATCAATATACATGTCATCTAAGCTTTTGGCAAGGCAGGAGGGGCACTGCTCTGTGTTCTCAAGGAAACCTGCAAGTTCTCAAGGAGAACTAACTACCTGGGGTTTTTGCCAAGCCTCCCATCTCACTTCAAAGCAATTTCATCTTTCAAAAGTTAGTTATTTTCATGGAACCAATGTTTTGGTTGTTATTCGATTTTGATTTTGCCAGCATGTTCTTCTCTTGCTCTGAATTCCTACTAGTTCTGCTTCATTTACCATAATGTTAAAATCAATTTAGTGCTAGTTTGGGTGAGAACCTCTTCAGCTGCAGTAACTGATTTGCAATGGATAAGCAGCAGCTGAACTGGGGCATCTCATTTAGCCACATGTCACATATACATTGAGCCTCATCATTACAACTCTGAAATCTGTTACCCAGACAGAAGGTGTACAATCTTTCTTTAAACTTAGCAAGCCAAGTCACATGTTAAAAAAAATCACAGAGGTAATACAAATACAAGGATTTTTTTTTTAAATAATTTTTTAGAAGATTTTTTTGGGAAGGAGAGCCATGACAGTCTTGTGTTCCAGTTCAAAACATTCTATCCATAATTGCTGAAAGGCAAGGCTTCTTTGAAAAATGTACCATCTCATTTCTTTTGCTTTTAAATATCAACTTTTTTTACCTCAATGTGCTTAAGAAACTCAAAAAAAGTTTGATTGGTTATAGGCAACCTGCCACAACACTCACTTAGCAGCAAGCAGCATGTTCTTTCTGGTACCAATTTCATTCCGTCCTAAATGTGGTCTGGTTAAATAGTCAGCTACTGCTTTAGAAGGAAACTCAGTTTCACAGACATAACCGAAATCTCGGGCCAGATGCACAGCTTCACCTACAACAGTGGAACAATTTTCATCAAACCCAAGCCCAAAGCAAACCAACTACCAGGTGTTACTACTGCTAGAAAAGACAAAAAAAAAAAGTGCTATACTGTTATCAAATTTTATTTCCATCCTAACAAATTTGCATCTGGAAAATGCAAGAATGCCAAATAAATTAATAACCAGCAGTAAAAGCTAAAAGATTCAGGAGATTAATGAAGCAATCTCTCCTTTACTGTCCTCAATGTTGGCCCATAGGACCAACAATGTTCCATATGAGCAAATACAACCTAAACCCCAATCTATGGGACTTCTCAGCAAAACCTAGTCAATTATAATTTTATTTCATAATAAAAATTTTTACATTATAAAAATGATCAAGGAGTACACTCCGGGTTAAGTCAGATGACTTTGAGCTAAAGTAATTTGTTAAATGCAGCCTTTGAAAGGCAACTGAAGTAGGCAGTAGAGGGTGGCTAAAGACCCATCTTGGAAACTAGGAAACAATGGATTCAGTTCCACCTTTGATACGTATTGATCCACTAGGCAAATCACTTATAATCTCAATGACCCTGAAAACACTTAAGACAAGTTGCACAGGAGGTAACCGTATTGTATTACTAAAAGGTAGATGGATTCCTATACTAACAAGGAAAAAACACTAAGCCTTTTTATTTAAGGAAAGGTAAAAATATCAGATATATATATCCAGCTGGAAAAGAGACTATAAGCATGTCACCTTTTGTTTCCAAGTCTCACTTTAACATACATTTTTAGCAACAAATCTCAAAGCTTTCAAGATTATCCAATTTAAGTAAACCCAGTTGAAGACTTTCAAAATTCCCAGTACACCCAACATGTTGCTTCCTCCATTAACAAAGACCTATCTATCAAACTGTATTTATGCTTTATTGCACCCTTATGAAGAAGGGCAGAAAATTTATTGATTGGGAGGAGGAAAATAGAAATTGCAGGAGATACATAAAGGCTAAGAAAAGCATGTCTCTTCACTTCATACAATCAGTATGATCACATATATCATACATGTTTGCTTACAACTAATTGCAAGTGCTCGCGCATGCATGCACACACATACACACACAAAACATACCCAAATTCCAACAAATCTTCAAACTAGACCAAAGCAATTGAATTCACAACCAGCTCTCCCTTGCACCACACAAGAAGTACTAAAGAGAGGCAACCTGAATGACTTTACCCCATCAGGCCCAAATGTTCCAGAGTACTGCCCAGAAGATATCTCATTCCCTAAGTCACACTGCTCACTGACTCCCCTAGGACACACGGGGAGGCTGAACTATCCCGATGATTGGGTCGAGATTGGAGTGTTTGCTCAATCTTTAATACTACAATCCTCTCAGTGTTTCAGTCCCTTTTCCTCCTGAATACAATATGCTTGAGTTGAGGTTTTTCTTCTTTTTTAAAAGTTGCATTTGTTTGTGTTCTTGGACACTTTCCAGGGGTCTTCCACTGAGAGGCCCAAGGCCTGTTCCCAGCTCTATATGCCAGAAAACCAAGTGCTAGGGGCTCTGAAACACTGGAGGTTGGTTTCCAGATCTTCTGAGGTAGAGGGGTCATGTTGAAAAAGGAACTTTAGGACTCCCAGGCCATAGCTTTGCAATTTTGAAAATATTATATATAAATGCTGCTAGATACCTCCCTCACATCATTTTAAGATTTTTTTCCCCTTCTTCTCAATACCTTTGAATTCTCCCCCCACCTTGATGACCGTACAGAATCTGCAATACTCTCTAAGGAACAAACAAAAAGATAACCTCAGAATAACTCTTTTTCTCTGACTGCCCCCACCATCCCAACTAAGTACTCAGTTCAACACATGTGCGAAAGAATGGAAAATGCTAAGTCATTCAAATCTCAATGGCCAGCCAGGCAAACATTACTTTTTAAATAATCAGTATAGGTAAGATACCAATATCTGGTCAAAGCAATTAGAAAACAGCCTATTTTAGACACTCATTCCACTCTTTAGGAAGATTACCAACTAGTCGATTTATATACCTTGCAGTTTAGCAGTGTAAACACACACACACACACACACACACACACACACACACACACACACACA